ATTTACTCGTATTACTTAGGAGTATGTTCTATGATACTGACTTAACTTGCACAGTGACTTACTTCAAGTGCAAAGAAGCAGAGTTGAGTAGATTACTATCTTTTACAAGAACACTATGTAGCTATTCTAGCTTCCAAGTCACCTGAGTTATTTAACCAAAACTATTTTAAAAATTATCAAAATTCTTTCAAATGAATATATGCTATTATAATGTGGCATATGACATACACACATATATACACACACTATACACACATATGTCATAGAACATGTTTGTGTTTTGATAGTTTATATTCTAAAGTTTTGCTAAAATGATGCTTTGAAAATGGCATTTTAAGTTGCCTCATTTTAGTATTTAAAACTGTTTTAAATGAATGTTTTTAACCAGAAAATAACACTGAGTCAATGTCAATAATCTATCACTACAGAGAAGAAAATAAATATATAATGAACACATATCTTACCAAGTTTTGTTTTTCCTGAAAGCAAAATAAAGTGCCACTCAGGGAACTTGATATGTTCTATAAAGCAATCACATCTTTATTTAAAAATCCTGTGTACTGAAGCTATAGTAGGGTCTCACCTATATTCATCTCCCATTCTACACTTTTAATATTTCATTTTATTGAGACTATAAGCACGCATCAGAGGAAGCAACACAACATGGACCAAAGCCAGAGGGAACGTGGACACGCGGGGTCCTTCAGACAGTTCAGCTGAGGCCCACCAGACACAGCCAGGAGACACATGCAGATATCAGGGGAGGGACGAGAATGATTCACCACACCTTTCCAGACTTCCAAAGAGGGTACAGAGTCACCTCCACATGCATTACCTTTCACTAAGAGCATTACACCTACCACGTTGTGAAGTCAACTCATCTACATGCCCAAGACGTAGAGCTGTAAGTCTAAGACATCCTCAAAAGATTAAACCAGACCATGGATGTAAACAAAAAAGGGGGAAAAAAACCCTAGATATATGTTTACCATTTACCACTCAAAGGACCATAAAGCCCTCTGAAGAACAAGAAAATACACCTCAGGCATCAAGTATTTATGGGGAAAGGGCTATTTCAGTTGAAAAGGTATTAATGAATGGATTTCCCGTGCTTTACATAATTCTTAGAGGAAGTTCAAATTAAGTCCCCAAAAGGAGGTTTTAATTATGAGAAGCAGTGTTTGGAAACTCTCACAAGCCATCACACTTGTTTGGAAACAAATGACTTCTCAAGATGGAGAAGTATTACTATCAATCACCAACAAGTTAATTCTACATAATAAGGCAGGTCTGGATGCAAACGGATCCATTGTGGATGCTGTGTCTAAAACTGATTACAACAGCACTTAAAATGAATGCAGCCCTCCAAACCACTTCTTTGCTCAGAAACATTAATCTCAGTTAGAAAGAGAGCTTCATAACGGTAATGCTTGGAATAAAAAGTATGAAATAAATCAGTTTTCATAAGACACAACAATTAATCAGCTTGGAAACTAAGAAGCATTTTTTTAAAGCACCACATGTCCATCAGGACTTTAAAAACAGCCGATACCTCCAAAATCAGGTTTTAAATACGTCCTAATTTTAAAGACCTTGCTGTTGAAACTTCGAGGTAGCACAGCATCAGGGTCCTAGTTCTTCCGTACAGTACTAGTTCATCTGAGGGCACTCTCAGCCCTTCTCTGGAACTAGCCTTCCACTTTATACAACCAATACGAACAATGACTTGAACTGAAAATTCAAAAGGAGACATCCTTGGGAGTGGATCAGAGTAAAAGTCTGATAGCAAAACTATGTCCTGAAAGTCAAAGTGGACATTTGACTACCAAAGGAAACATTAGGGTTGCAAGTAACATGCAGCTGAAATGCCTGGCAAGTCTCCACAGCCCATCTTCAAGGAAAGGGCAGGAGACCATTCATTCACGCTGCCAAACACACTGATTCACGCACCTCTAAGCATAATACCTTGACGGCATTCCTCGGCCACCCAGAAATCAAATGTTTAAAGGGTGAAATTAAGTTTAATACAGAGGAGGTAATGCAGTTATTAATAGAGTCAAGACTAATAAACTAATAAAGTTGTCTTTATGGCATCTTTCTATCAGATTATGACCACCTTCTGGACTTATTTCCCAGTACCGTTCTAGGTGGGATAAACGTCAGCATTTCCAAACGTACTTTCACAGCGACTGCAAAAACATCGTTCTTTTGGGTAGAGGCTCAAAGTTGATCCAGTATTTTCTGATAGGTCATCCTACTCACAACGATGGCATACACGGCCGCCTGGTTTCTTACTTGCCTGGCTCTTTACAAAGGGAATAATCACTCTTGGCTCACAGAAGCAAAGCTAAGAAAGACTAGCTTGAACTTGATAACTGGATTATTCTTGTTCAGCTAGGTTCCTTTTTGATTAAATGTAAAACTTTTCACTTTACTTATGGGCTTTCTTCTATTCAAAGATAAGCATCCTTATCTTTCTTTGTCTTCACCCTAATAAAGCAGGTTTCCTTTTCTAACCGGAGATCGTGACGTGCCTACAAGATCATAGTAAGAAAAGCCTCGGTAATTTACCTAAAACATTTCTTTCCAGAAAATAAACACATCATGCAAAAATGATTCATTATGGAAAAGTAAGTACTACTCACAATTCTACTATAAACTTATCTGCTTTATTTTAAATACCCAATCCATCCTCGTTAGGGTCAGTATATTCTTTGTCTGTGGGTGTAAACATTAATGCTACTGGCCAAAGCTATTAATATATTTTCCAAATTTGTAAAGACTGGCACTGTTATTGGCATATAAACTCATTTTTCATATAAACTGTGCAGTATATGTAAAAATATACTTGTTTTACTCAAAGAAACTGTTTTTTTCACATAATGCATATTCTTTTTAAATGATCATAAATAAAGTAGGGAAAAAAGTACCTTTGAGGAAGAGGAATATTAAAATTCGGGTGAGGAAAAAAGGCGAGGTTGTCAAGGAAAAGGCAAGAGGAAGAGGGAGACAATCCTGAAATACACAATAGAATAACTAAACTCATTATAAACCCCTATCTTTTGAAGAATTTAGGAATAATTTGTGAATGCCATGACATTTTAAAGTGGGGTTAGCAAGTCTTATTGCCGAACTAACCTCTCACTGTTAGGGCAAGAACCAAATATTTGCTTTGCATTTAGAATCACGAATGGAAAGTTCCAGGCTCTTAAAAGAATTTCATATATTAAGAAACACAAACTAGAAGTTTGAGGTAATTAAAAATGTATTAAGAAACACACAAAGCAAGACTGTTGGTTTTTAAAATCTTTTGTTTCAACGAAAACGTTAAAACCTAGAATGCATTTTAATGACACAGTTACTGGATTCTAAACTCTGTTCCTAATATGCTAGAAAGACGACACACACTTCTCCAGGTCGGCAGTTGAGACGTGGGGGTGCGGGGAAGGCTTTATATTTTAAACAAATCCACTGCAGGAATGAAATGCCCAAGTTCCGCTCAGTCGCAACACCACTCTGGGGGTGCTCGTGCAAGCTTTCCAAAGGCTCCAGTCCTGTCTTTCTTTTTTTCCCTTACGACAACAGAAGGGGAAGGTAATGCCAAACATATTTCTATTTGTAGCGAAAAGACCACCCAGTGGATTCTGCCGGAGTCTACAATGTTTGACAAACACGTTTTTAGAAGATAAGAGAGTATCATAAAGAGACGGCCCTGTTCTGGTGGGTCCCAGCTCTCGGGGGCCTTGCACTAAGTGCGTGGATATTGCTTGCTCTTCAACTTCCAGGGCCCTCACCCAAAAGTACCTGGGAACTTTTTTCACTTCAGAAAACAAATGCATTTGCTGGGTTACACAACAGAATTAGTTGTTACTCTTTATAGGCAGTAAGACTTACTGGCAGGTTACCACTACAACTGCCGTAAAGGTGAGGCAGCAAGCATGGAATCCAAACGGCACAATAAGGTATTCAGCGGACCTGACACCTAACCCACTTTTATCTAAAATGTTGTGATGCTCCTTCGAATCGGCTGTAAAACACGATACAGACTTCGACTGGGTTGCAGGCTCATAAAGCTATGATTTTGTAAATGCCCAGTTCAGGATATCTGTCTGCTTCCAGCCCAAACCAGAGTTCCCAGATCAAGTTTCAACCGAAATGCACCAGTCCACACGACACCCCAGCCCGTGTATCGCCTCCCTTCACTCCTTCCCAACTTGGCGCCCTGCTACTTGGAGGAGCCTCGCTTCCACTTCCCAGCAAAGTGGTGGCTACCCAGGGCTGCCGGCTCACTGGACTCCCCGCAGGATCCTTTCAGACACCTTCTCAAAGGACGCCGTGCCCCATCACAAAACTGGGGATCGCCCAGATCAGACCAAGAGCGGCTGGGCTCCCCGCCCCCACTGAGCGCCCAGCCTCTGAGCTGCCTCTCCCGGGGAACCCGGGTGCCGGTGTGAACCTGGGCGGTGCCTCGCTCTCCGGGCTGGAGGCCCCAGCAAAGTTCCCACCTGAGCAGGCAGCCCGAGGTGTCAGATGCGAGGGAGGGGCAGGGACGCGGAGGCCGGGGACCGGGAGGCCAGACCCGGAGAGGCTGCGCACCGGGGAGATGCTTCTGGGCCACCGGGGCTGGCCAACTTGCTGCCTCCTCCCAGCGCAGCTCCAGGAAAGCCGCCGTCCCAGCCGGCCGCTGCCCGCTCCCAGCACCCGCCCTCCAGCTCCCGGCGGCGCCGGGGCCCGGGCACTAGGACCCCCGAAAGCAAGGAGGACGCGCCGGCGGCCGCGCCGCACTTACCGCGCTGGCTCACCCGCGCCGCCAGCTCGCCACCCGGCCGCAGCCGCTGCGTCCACGGAGCAGCGCGCACACACAGCACTTGGCCAAATTCAAAGGAGCCGGGCGCAGAGGCGGGGGCCCCGAGAGGGAGCGGAGTGGGGCTGGGGGGGGGGCGGTGAGGGGAGGGGAGAAAACAGCAAGTGTTACAACTTCCTTCCGTGCCCACCGCCAGGCAGCGGCGGGCGAGGGACGCGGGAGGGGAGGGCAGCGCGCGGAGCGCCAATGAGTTCACTTTCTTTTTCTCCCCCGCGCTCTCCCCCTCTCCCTTCCCGCCAGCCCCTCCAGCCTCCTCGTTGGCCGCCGGCTGCCGTGGCCGGGCCAGAGTTTTGGGTTCTCGGCCCGGGAGCGGGAGGATGGAGACGGCGAGGGAGGAGGTGGAGGGAAAAGCGAGGAGGCGAGCAGGGCGCCCCGCCAGCGAGCAGCATCCAGGACCTTCAGTGTGTGGCGGGGGACGCGCCGGCCGAGTGTGCCCGAGCCGGGCGCGTACACGTGTCCGTGTGTGTGAGTGTGGGAGCCGGGCGAGCGGAGGAGCCTACCATGCGCTTCCCCCTCCGCGCGGATCGCGGGAGAGCCCAATCCCGGGGCGAGCTGGACCGGCCGCGACCATTTATAATCCTTGCCTCCTCCACTTCGCAACTTGTCAAGATGACGGGTACTTTATTTCTTCTTCTTCTTTTTTTTTAATTCAGAAAGAGAGATTTCCCGTTTGCTACCTTTTTCTGTCAAATGGGATTTGCCGGACTGAACCACGTTCGCAGCCCCTCCCTCCTCCGGGCCGCGTGCGTTCGGGGCGGCACGGGGCTCCCCCGCTGCGGCCAATCAGTGCCTGCACCTCTCTCGTGGCGATTTAGGGGTCACCCGTGAATAACACTTCGCGCTGATGAATGGCTCTCACCGCCTTTCGGCTCTGATGAGGGGTCTGCCCGCAGCTGATTGCAAACACTAATGAACTTGCGGCGCCATTTGAAATTCACACGCGCCGACACCGTGCGCGGGTACGTGCGCGGGGGTCCGTCCTTTCCATCTCCCGTGGCGGGAGGAGGCGCAGGGGGAGGGGGCGGGTAATTGCTTTGGACCTAAGTGGAAACACTTGTCTGTGTAATCAAACCTCTAACCTTCTTAGAAAACTACTTTTCTTGATCTTCCCTAGGGTGGGCATTTCAGGTCAGCTGAGTCACCCGAGGAGGTGGCGGAGCAAGGCGCTGCCGGGAAGATGGATTCCGAGGCGGGAGGGTGTAATTAAGGACTTCCACCCCCGGCAGGCGGGCTGTCCTTTACGCAGCCTGTGAAAGTGACCTGCGCCTTCGCTTCCACAGTGTCCTCTCCTCAGAGACTGAAAAGCTCCAATGACCTTCGGACGGGGGAGGGGACTCTAAATACCCAGCCTTCCTTAACAAGCCCCAACTCGGCCAGGCCGTCGACCGTGTGTCTGCCCTCCGGTTGGAGCTGCAACCCGCACGCACCTGCCAGTGGGCGAATTCTGGAGCCCACTCCAACCCAACCTCCCCTCCTCTTCCTCCATCTCTCCATCCCTCCCCCCTCCCTCTTTCTCATTAGCAGCTGAATGCCACCCTAACTCTAACCTTCCCTACCTTGACTTCTGTGGGGAAGGAAATAAAAGTTTACTGCTCTCCACAAGACACTGTTACTTTCTGCTCACTGCGCCTTCCCAGCTCTCGAGCGCCTGCGCCCTCGTGTGAGGCATGTCCACCAGGGTAGCCAGAAGTCCCGGCTGCTCCGGGATTTTGGAACACCCACCCCCTCAACCTTCCCGGGACGGCGCTCTGCTCTTCTGCCCCTAGAGCCTGCGGGCAACGTTCTGTTCTAGGACGAGGCTGCGGCTAGGTTGGGGCGCACACGCTTCAGACAGACTAACTCGGGTGGCCGCTGTTGGGGCACGGAGGGTACCCCTGAGTGTAGCTGAGAGTAGGTGCCCCGGGGCCACTGCACACTTGTCCTTGGAAGTGTGGCAGAGGGACTAGTGTGTCCTGAGTCTTTTTATCCCACTTCCCATCCCCAACTTCAGAGCAGGGGATGCCACCCGGAGGGGCCCGAAGTACCCGTGCCTCAGGCTAGAAGGAAAAACACTTGCATTTGTACCTACGCGCAGACGAAGCGCTTGGGAAACCAGAACAACGCCTCCTCCCCTCGGAAAGGAGGCCCTGAGCCTTTGTGATAGAATGTCTCCCAAGTTTGGGGTAGGACCGACCAGGAGAATCCGGGAACTTGAACGAGTGTGCCCAGTCACTCAGTCTGAGTTCCCAAAGTTACTGAAGTGACCCAGCACGCTGCCGAGTGATGCCTGAGCAGCAAGACCCTGCTCCGGAGACCCGGCGTGGCCCGGTCCACTGGCACGACATTGCCGGCGGAAGCCAGACGACCCGGGGCGGGATCTGTCGCCTTCCCGGGTGGGTGCCTTTCACACGGGAAAAAGTATGGCAGTGGGGCAGATTATTGTCCCCTTCTCGTTCTAGCCATTCTGATTTTCTAAAAAACAAAAAAAACAAACTTGTCTCTTATGAAAGTATGGCCCTGATTACACAGGACAATCACACAAATGACTCAAAATTAGCATCCCTAAGATGCTCGTGAAGAAATTTGAAGGGTGTTTGGTAAATCACCTCCGTGGCCCATGTCCCACAAAAACATGAGAAGTGTTTAAAACTTTTCTAAGTGTCCAAGAAACACGGTCCCTTGCTCTTCCATACTTTGCTGTCTAAGAACACGGGGAAAAGAAAGACTCCCCGCCTGTCCTAAAGGGCCACCCGGAGAAAGGAAAGTGCTGGGAGAACCGGTGGGAGTTGGGCCCCGGGCCGGTGGCACATTCCTTCTTTTGAACTCTTTTTTCTAGAACCCTCATTATAGCTAACCCTGGTGATACGCCTAGGAAACAATGGGACTCATAAAATTTAGAAATGGTAATAAATCTTGCAGCCTGTCTGTAGCCCAGCTCGCTGTTACATGATACTCAAAGTTTTTCACTATGGGATGCTGAACCGTCATACTAATTGGGTGCAAACTCGTTCACAGAGTCCTGTGCACTCCACGCCAAGGGTCGCTAGTGGACAAAGCGCGCAGGTGGGTTCCTCGCCCACTGTCCGCCCGCAATCCAGGCAGTTCAGGTGTGTGAAGTTCGGGGCTTCTCGCTTTTATGCCCCCTCCGGAACAAAGAAGTTCCATCCTTTGAGGCTGTTAGGAAAAGCTGACGTGTGCAATGCCAAACTATGGCCCAAGCTCCCTGCTCCAAATGCATCCCTGGAAAGCAAAGAGGCAGCTTGCTACGTTCCTCCCAGGTTTTCTGCCTCGCTGAGCTGTTGTCGGGAGAGGGCGGGGATGGAGGGGCGCTCACGCGGAGTCCTCCGCTGCAGTAAAAACTCCAGTGAGTCAGAGAAGAAATGCAAGACGTTGCTGTTTCTTTTCCAAACCTCTGGCTGTTCGCCGATAACTCTGCCCAGCGCTGCTGGTGCCTCTGCCGAGTTAACGCAGCCAGTTGTGAAGAGGGATAATGGGACTGAGCGGGCCGGTGGCACCGCCCTCCCGTGGGCCCCCGTGTCACACTGATACACAGTTCTCCAGAAAGAAAAAAAATGCTGCTGAGCGCTCCCCTGCTGCATCCCCTCGCCCCCAGGAAATGCAACCCTCTAAAAAGTGCGGGGGAGGAAGCAGAGAGCAGGTTGGACCACTGGATTCGCCGGGCAGGGCGGGAGGTGGGTTGCTAGGAGGACCTCACGGAGCCCGTGCCATCGAGACTGCGGTGGGTGGGAGAAGGACGAAGGCTGGTCTCCTCTGAGGCCAAGGCCAACATCGCGGTCCACGCACCTCTCCCCTGAGTGCCCTCCCTTTCCCGAAGGTGATGCCTGCCACTTAGGGCAGCATAAGGAGCACCTTCCCACGGATGCTGTTGTTTGGGGGGCTGTCGGTTTGCTCCTCCTGTCCCGCGGACACAACCTGGAGCCGAGCAGGCTGGGTGGCAGCTGTCCCCACCTCACTGCCCTCCTGGGGGGAGCCGCAGGGGCCTGCCTTATAGCCTTGCAGAAGTGGAACCCAGTCAGAGCCAGGGTCAGGGTCAGGGTCAGGCAGGAGGCTCTCCCAGGAGGCTCCTAGACACTGCTAGTCCTCACAGGTATCCTGGGGACTTCTGGCATCCACTCTAGCAATGAGGAAAGACTGGTGGGACTGGGGGGGCCGGTTAGTTCCAAATCAAGAGCCACGATCTCTAGGTGCTGATGAGGAGAGGAATGGATGGCCTAGCCCGAGCTGAGGCACCCAGACTTCCAGAACAACCCTTGCAAACTCCAGGAAAGGTAGTAATCTATGTATGTCCAACAGGAGGTTACCTGCCAGCGGATGCTCTGCTTAAAACACAAGCTGAAGGCTGCTGGTCACTGAAGAGAGCCCCAGCCCTAGGCCCTGGGGGGCGGGGGCTCAGCACATCACATGGTGTGCAGCAAGTGATTCTCTGCGTCCTGCTGGCAGCTCCAGCACTGAACTCTCACACTGAAGTGTCTCAAGAAGCTCTGCAGTTATTGTCAGGTGTTGGGGGATCCCCCCTTGCAAAACCAAGTAATTTATTTCTCTTGGCTGTTAGATTGATGGGAACTGTAAAACACATATGCTAGTTTTATCACTGACAAAGTCATGAAGCGAAATGGCTGTTTGTCGTGGGAAATGCGTTGCCATTGCTTTAATTAAAGCGAGACAGGCCTCTCTCGATGTGCAGACACTTTGGAGCTGCCCAGAGAACTGGCCATGGGAGCAGGATGGGCGGGGCCTCCTCAGGGCCTTAGCTTGTGTCCCGCTGCAGGCTCCGGCCACCACCACTGGGCTCTGACCTCTGGTCAGGACACAGTCTGCAGACCACGGCCCGGCTGCTGACTTGCTTTTGCTTGAACCTCGTGAAAGAGCCACTTCCCTGTCAGATTTTGAACACGGAGACACTGGTCACGTGTGGCATTTTCAATGTGGGTTTAACTTCATGCATGTTTCAAACGATTCCATACTAAAAGATGCAACCTTTGTAATAGTTATCATGGAGTGCCTTTGAAAAGCTCCTATTTTCTATGAACAACTTTCCTAGGAAGCAGTATGTGTCCTGTATTTAAGGCACACAGTATACAGAGCATTCAGGGTATAAGTATATAATATATTTAAGGTGGGCTCTAGTGGAGGCAATGTTTATCATAAAGTAGTGACGCTGGACACTTTTGTCAATCATGCAGTGTCCGCTAGATACCTCCCCTCCAGTCTGTTAGTTAACTTGCACACAGGTTTAGAAAAAGCCATCACGTGACTATCAATCAGTATGAGACCCAGTCCTGTGTCCTTATTTCCCAGAAGCGTCCTATTCTCTCCTCCCTGGTCTGGGATGCACTCTCAGCTGCTGGCACACCCACGCCCTGAAGCACCGAGCAATGGAAGTGCTTCCTCCGTCTGCCTTTTCTTCCGCTCACACACCGTGGGCGTCTGTTCATTTGTTCTGCATGGGCCTTGCCCAGTGCACGGGGCCTTCCGGGCACCATACCCTGGCCTGTGCCTCCTTGGACTCACTGCTTCTGGCACAAGGAGCTGCCGTGTAGAAGATGCTGGATGAGGAGTTGCCGAATGAATGAGTGAATCATGAATACAGTGTCTTAATGCCTTCACTGAACTCAGTCATTCTTTCTGTCTTTTTAAAAAAGGATATATCATAGGTGAAGTTGATTGTGAAAAGATATTTATTAAATACCCTTTTTGACTTTCCTGCCCGATAGTTTTTTAATGGCACATAGTTTTAAAATTCTAGTCACGATATCAAGCCCCATCAATCCACCTCCAAACTTGGTTGACTTTTCTCAGGAAGCACAATTTGCAGTAAAAACAAGCATAATGGGAAAAGGTAAAAAACAACACATTTGGTAGCACTTCCTGAAATATGGAAATGTGTGTAGCGGAAGCACCTATTAAATGCAGATACTCTAAGTATTTCCTATTTAATAAGGCATTATTTATGGAACCCTATTGTTTTCCCAATTTCCTCGGGATTTTTTCACGGTATGAAGCGTAGCGCCTAAGACGCCTGCTCTTTCACTTCTTCAAGAGCAGGGTCCGGCTGGTGTTGGGCGAACAAGCCCGGTCTGTTCTTGTCTGCGCAGGGAGGACTTTCTAATTGATCCGGCACGGACCTTAGACGGAGATGTGTACCTTGCAACTCAAGTACAGAGCCTTGTGCTTTGGAAAGTGATAACCATATGGGCTTTATTTGAAACATTCGAGGATTTTCAGCATCAACCTGGGTTAAATTGAGCTAATGTACACATCCCAACAAATTCATTATCACATTGGGTAGATTCAATCCATGCTCCCCTCCGATTAGCAGAGATGCTGACCATTGATCACCAACGCAGAAGTTCGTTAGGAAAGAGCACGATAATGTTGTGCTTTGTACTGTTTAAATGCAAATTGCCCATATTAAGCAGACGTTGTCTACTGTTATCACTTTCAGTGGAATGGAAATGTTTAAAAATGATCTCCGGGTAAAGAATGGGGGATGCAGTCAAATCTATTTCCTCTTACACTATTTTCAAGTGCACTTCACTATCATCATGAAGATTTAATTAAGCAAGCTCAGCTAAGCTAAAAGGCAAAGCTGGAA